AATGCACTGGGTCAGCTGGCCAATCAGAGCAGACTGCGCTTGTCGGAAGGAGGGACTTTGTAGAAAACTAAGCGTTTGAGAGAGGCGGGGCATAGAGGACCTACAATAATGTACAGTATTTGAAAAATAATGTGTTTTCTGAACATTAAAGCATGTCAACATATTCTGTTACACCAAATACACAAAATAAGGATCTTTAAAAAAAGCATCATATGACCCCTTTAAACATCATTGTAACTCTTACAGGTTGTCTTCTTGCTGTGATTAATAAAGCTGGATGAGGAAGGCCAGTCACATGGGATAAATGGGTAGGCGGGGCTTTCTGGGCTGTAGGGCATGTCTGGCCTGGTTTGGAGGTGCATTGAGATTGAGATGGGCTGAGGTTGGATTTTAGCATTCCAGAGATCAACTAGAAATTAATAATTTAAGTGCAATATTAAATAGGAAAGTGTGACGTGTCAGACTATGTCTCAAATGTAGAACTGTTACGCAACTCTTTGCAAGGATTAATAATTGCTATTTGTTGTTTTACTCCGTTTATGAAAAGAAAAACTTGTCTTTTGTTCTCCAGGTTGAGCAACAAGTTTCCCCTTAAGCATACCTGTGACCTCACAGTTCCTTTGTTCTCCTACTCCATCTAGTGGTGCTTTGACAAAAGCACTGTAAATGTGTCATAAATGTAGTCCTAAGTGACGGAGGTACTTTACTTTTCCAAGTTTTAAGCATTTTATTTTCATATTCACATGATTCATATTTATATTCATATTGAGTGAAGAGTATGTTTACTACAACCTAGAGCCTTAAGAAACAGTACATAATCTATAACTACTTTTTTCTGCAGTTACACTCTTGATCTAGCTTTTGTACTCCCTTGGTTTACTTTACTAAAGCTTTCTAAATAATGTTTGTTAGTTAGTGAAGCTTTTCACTCTAAGATTAGTCTTTACTAAAGAGTGTGCCAGCACACACGGGATGTAATCAGTTTAAACTCCTGTGGTAATGCAGATATGGTGGTGTTGCTAAATCAAAATGACTGTTCTCTTCTGTCCATCTTTAAAACAAAAGGTAGGTCTTTGTCAGATTTTGTTAGATGTCACATTTTGGTTAAATTGACTGGAAAGCTTTTTACAGTAACTGTCTGTCTTATGCATATGTTCTTAATTAATTTCTCATTTTCAATATGCGTTTTCAATAATGTAAAGTCATGTGTACATTTAAAGGCTGAATGATGAGTTTGTGAAAGTATTCTGTTTTTAACATTTTTAAAAGTTTGTTCTGCAAAGGTTGTTATCAGTATTTTGCCTGGTGAATAATTGTGTGGTTATCGTAGTACAGTACATTACAAACATAGCATTTCTATCAGGAGATGCTATGGATGGAAATAGTATGAAACCATTCAAAAAATGCTTCAGAAGACCCAAATGACCAGAAAATAATGAGTGAATCAGCTGGTTGAAATCAGGACACATGGTTAATTTGAGCATGGTCTTTGTACATTTAGCATGGTAATTGATTTTGCTTTAGCTTTAGTTGTTACTGAAACTGAGCTACCTTAGATCAGATGATAAGTTGCTATATTATTTGCTTGCAAGCATTTTTCTTTGTGTACTTTTAAACATCCAAGCCCTGTACATTTGAAACATCCCATACTGGATTTGACATCTGAATATATATTAAATATTATATGTAATTATTTGTAATTATCTCTGCAGGCCCTAAAGAAGCAGTTGTGGGTGCTATTTCTGTTCAGGAGTTCCAAGAAAATGTGTTTGTGGAGGGTAATCGGCCTAAATATGCGTTGGACCTGCAAACAGAGGCCCAGCAGGGCCTTAAAATGCAGCAGCAAGAGGGTGAGAAAAGTAAAAAATCAGTCTGTTTAAATTGCACACTTTCTTTTACTCTGAACCAAGCACATGCTTTTCTTCAACATACAGCAGTTTATTTTATTTGGTTAAGAGGTGATGTTTTATTTTCCAGATGATAGGAATGGGATTGATTACCCTGATGACCAAAGTATGATTGTAAGTGATCCTCCATGCATCAATCAATCTTCAGTTCCTGTTATGAATGGTTATTTCTGTTCCCACCATAGTGACAGCCTGGTTTTTAAATTGTGCACATAAGCAGTTCTATAAGTGCAATATATCACTGACTACTTTTAAATTGTGGTCGAATTATTATAAATTTGGAAGCTTAACCATGCTGTTGTTTGCTTTAGTCAACAGTAACAGCTCAGACTGAAGACAGCATGGCCTTCAGTGAGCTGAGAGGCTTTGAGTCTGAGAGCACAGCTGCTGATTCTGTTTCGATGCGCTCATCCATTTCCTCACGATCAACACGCTCAGGACTCAAACGCCAAGGTGACACTTCACACATAAATTGATTCATATAATTTTTTCATAAAAACATCTTGGCCTGGTAAAGATACATCCATAAAGTGATTTAAGCATTCGTTACATATGCATTGTCAGAGCAACATTGTTTTCTGTTTCCTTTCTCCAGCCTCAACATTCAGACCTCTGAAGCCAGATAAGACTGCAGCGAAGTCAAAATCTCATTGGAGACATGTGAGAACTGTTGTAGGAATTCCTCGACACATCCAGAGAGAACTGGGTATGTTTTGCTGCAGTCTTCTATAGTGCAGAGAATGTCTAGAGATATTTAGTGGAAAACTTATGTTTATGTATATTTTATTTTTGCATATTTCATATCTGAAGGGTTGGACAGGGCAGCATGGATCACCACCAATCCTCTTGATGGTCAGCTGTCCAATGGAGACATGATCATACCCGCCATCATTTCCACTGTGGATGGTGTGTCTTCCAGCTCTGAACAAGAAAGTGTACAAGACCATCTACAAGGCGTGCAGAACATGTACACAGTTAAAGAAAACAACACAGAGCTCCCCACACTGACAAAACCCAAAGATGACATCCTCCAAGGGCTCATGAACCATTCTGTAGATCCAGAAAAGTCAGGAGCAGGCATTCTAGGTGTTCCTTGGACAGAGAACCCAACCAGTGTGGTGATGTCCATCTCACCTCAGGCCACATACATGTCTAAAATCATTCCAAATGCTGTTCTTCCACCATCTGTGGATGTTGTGGAACTCAGTCGCAGCCAAAGTCGCAGCAGTGTCCGAACCGTCAGCAAGAGCAGTCTGGTGTCAGCCAGCCCAGCATCCACACGTGCTTCCTCCAGAGTCTCTTCACATCGTTCCACAACCTGCTCGAACTACTCTGGGTGGAGCCACTCAGGATCATCAGAAACGCTAGTATCCGATTCTTCTACCATCTCCAGCAGTAGCACTCCCCGTGTGGCCAGCAGAGGGAGTCAGGTTGAGAACATGGATAGACCAGCCAAGCTGAACAATGATGGTTCCCATGTTAAAACTACTCATGTGAATGGGGGCTCTACAGAGGAGGAGGATAGCAGAAAAACAGGATCTGCTGCTGCTTTCACACGTAACCTATCAGTGATTAAATGGGGAAAGAAACCTCCAGCTCCTCCCAGCAGGTCATACTCTTTATACAATGTGAAACAGGCCTGGAAGGCATCTGAGAGTAATAACTACTTGGCTGATGTCAGCACTCCAGATGAGTCACCATACCCTGGTGTAATTTCTATATCTAAAACGAAGGCCACCGCTCACGAGTTGAGCCCTAAGATAGGCATACTTCCCTCCAATGGACCCACAACTGTCACATCAAAGGAGAGCCAGCCAGTTGGCACAGACAAGAAAATTATGTTAGCTGAGCTTAAGATATGCAGAAATAACCTTCAAGTGTCTTCCATTGATGCACCCCATTCATACACAAATGGCACCAGTAAGCTTGCTGAACTTAAGAACACCCTTTTGTCAAAATGCCTAATTAATAGTAACAGTTCCTCCCCAGCTGTAATGGCTCTCCGATCTCTGTTAGAGATTCCCACCCATCCCAAAGTACTGGCTCCGCCAGCTCCTCCTCCTGAGACCTGGGCTCACAACCAGCGGACTTTTGAACTGCTGTGTGGACCAGGACCTGTTAACTATGCACGCTGGGCCAAAAAGAGAGGTCTTAAAATAGCAGATGAACCAGATGTAGCCTTGGCAAATGCTGACAGAGTAAACGCAACATATCTATTGCAGCCAGTAGAGATAAAAGGTAAAATTGAATCCATAGCTCCACTTGCTTGTGTTGCCCCATCTCCATCACCTCCCCCAGAACATTGCCCACCAATACCATTCAACAGCCAAGCCAAACCTCCTCCGCCCCCTCCAGATTTTGTTCCTTCAACTCCTACACTAGCTGCCAAAGCAATAAAGGACTTAACTACTTGGATCCCTCCACCTCCTCGGTTTCTTCCTCCGGCGCCTCCAGTAGGTACGGCTTCGGCAACTCCTGTCGCTGTGCAAAATGATACCGACTTCCCTCCACCACCCCCACCATTTTCGCCACAGTCTTTACTGACAATGCCGCAATTACCTCCAGATATTCCACTGCCACCACCGCAGGAAGTTCCACCTCCACCAAGGCCACCTTCTGAACCACAGAAAATCGCATCCCCTCCACAAGAATCCCAACCTTCAACACACAATGTGTTAGTAACATCATCTGAAACTTCTCAACAAATCAATGTTCCTCCACCTCCTCCACTACTCACTGATGTAAGATCTCAACAAGTCGGTGTTCATCCACCTCCTCCACTGCTCACTGATATAGGATCTCAACAAGTCAGTGTTTCTCCTCCTCCTCCACTGCCCACTGATGTAAGATCTCAACAAGTTAGTGTTTCTCCACCTCCTCCACTGCCCACTGATGTAAGATCTCTACAAGTCAGTGTTTCTCCTCCTCCTCCTCCACTACCCACTGATGTAATATCTCAGCAAGTCAGTGTTCCTCCTCCTCCTCCACTACCTAGAAATGTAAAAAGGGAGGAAAGACTAAAGACAACAGAAATGGAGAAACGGACAAGCAGTCCCTCTCCGGCCAAAGAGGAGACTTCTGGTCTTGTGGTCACCCAGTCTCTCCTACAGATGGTTCGTCTTAGGTCAGTTAAGTCCAATCTGAGCCATGCTGTAGATCCTGATAAACCATCACAACCCAAACCAAAATCAAGTGTCAATCAAGAGGCACCTCCAAAGCCAATCAGAAGGTCTTTGATTATGACATCACTGCCCCCTGATGTGGAAGCTCTTTCCAACACAGAGCAAAAAACTGAAGCTCCGTCCCTCAACACAAACACAACCACAACCACTGTATCAAGTACTCAGCAAGGATTATCTGAACGAGAAACTCAATCAAATAACATTGCTCAAGAAACCGATAACACAATACTTGAGCCAAAATATTCATTAGATACATGTCCACCTACCGAACCAAGTAACAATCCAGCTCCTGCTGAACCAGCAACTAAACAACCCTGTGCTGAAATAAAACTCAAACCCAAAGCCCTCATGGAACAAATTCAACCTATAGCGCCTGATTTAGCAACCCTGCCAAGCACAACGGAACCAAAGGACCAATCAATCAGTGAGCCAAAGGCTCAACATCAAGCACAAGAACCCAACAAGACCACACATAATTCAGAGAAGCAATTAAGCACTGTTGAAATGCACTCAAAGCTAGATGGTGAGCAGCCAAAAACCCAAACACCAATGCCCATTGTCTCTTCCACACCTCCCATAATCTCTTCGCCAGCTAACCCCTCCATGCGTCTCCAGGATGCCATTCGTCTAAAGGCTGCCACTATGTCTTCAAAAGACAACCAAGCCAAGCGCTTTGGTCTGTGCTCCCCTCCCCCAGCCATGGCTAGTGGCACCGCTGTACCAAACTCCCCTGCATCTACAGCCAGCTTCATCTTCTCCAAGAGCCCAAAGAAGGTCGTAATAGAGACACCGTCATCCTTAGAGGTTCAGGGTGACCTGAGGAAAACTCTGGTGGCAGAGTTAGCATCTGTCTCCGATTTAGCCAAGTCTAATGACTCGCACAAGATGGCTAACAAAGTTCCTCCACCTATTGCTAAGAAACCCAACACTAAGGTTGAGAGCGTTGCTCAGAACTCTGCAGAGGCTGAATCTGTAGCCAAGACTGAGCATGTGTAAACAGAAACTGTACAAACTGCCGGACAGGAAGTACAGAGAACTCTGAGAATAGAAGTGAATGAATATGTGCACAAATGATTTAATAACCCTTAAGTTTTTGCTTTATTTCGCAGATAAATCAGGCTTTAGATCCTAGGCCCAAACTGCTCAAGCAATTTTGAAATATACCAAAAAAGTCTTTATGTACAGATAGGCATATTGCACTTTTTGTACACTGGTTTAGTGTAACTGATTCTCATTCATCATGGGAATGCACTTCACTGGTATTTGGAAATTATAAATATTCTTATTTTATTTATGTGTCCTCAGTCTTAAACAGAAGCCATGCTACCTTCCAGTTTATGGAACTCCTCCCTACTGGTAGCACTGTAATAACTGTGGCAACATAGCAGGAACGCACCAAAAGAGAAGTTTGTAAGTTTATAAAATATAGAATATGACCAATCAATCTCTATGGTGGATTTTTACAGTTATTAATGAATGCCTGAATATGAGAGCAGTACGAAAAGAAATGAGGGTAAAGAATGTAAGTATAAAGAATGTAAACAAAAAGAGGGAGAACAGATGGGAGAATAGACCACTGATTTTGGGGTGGGGGTTGTGACTATTCTGTTTTCCATTTGCAGTGTGTAACTAAGCCTATTTTTACTAAAACACCAACTCCGTAAAGGTGATGGTAATAATAAACATTCCCCGCCCCAAGTATTTATATATAGAAATGTGGAGAAGGAATCTGAGCAAGTGTAAATGAAACAGAGAGATGAAACCGATGAATGAAACAAAAGCTGTTTTCTCAACATTGTGAGTGAGCAGGTAGGGCCAAGAAGGTGGTCAGAAGTCATGAAACCGCATAAACAAGAGGTCTAAGGTGTTCTTCTCTGTGGAATCAGTACTTTTGGTTTATTTGTTTTTATTTTCACACAGAAGTTCATTAGTTTACACCGTTCATGTACAGTATAGTCAACAGACTGGACAAATAAAAGAAAATGAATGTTTTTAATATATATGAATTTTTTCTCATGCACTATGCTTACATTTTTATTGTTGTTCCTTTGATTTCAGCAATCTCTGTCTTTGATTATAATCTCTTAAGGCGAAATGTCTTATTTACATATTGTCAAAACATTCTCTACAAATACTAAAAACTTGATTCATTGTGTTTCATCATGTGATGAAAGTAAAGTGTAAAACAAAGTTACTAAAGTAGCTTCATGATGACTTTTCTGATCTGGCTATGTTTTGTTTTTTGAAAGATTTTTTTAATCAGATGCTGCAACATATAAACATTATACTTAATTCAAAATAAAGAACACTGACTGCTTTACAATGACATGGATCTTAAGAACTGTTCTATCAGGATGGTGGTAGACTAATCTTTAACACCCCGGTAAGTATTGCAAATGTGGTTGTCATAGGCATTATATATTCAGCTAACAGTATAAACAACAGTCAGACCTGTGAAGACTTACCATTTACCTGCCATGTTATTTTCTTTCCCCCCAGGGGAAAAAAATAGGGGATAAGATATTCATTTATGTACAGAATAATTAGTAACACTGAAACTGAAGGATATGATAAAGGGGGAAGTGTTTTACAAATTTGACAGGCATTTTTGTCTGAAGTGATTTGCATTGCAAGGTATATATTATTAGTTAATGCATTCCTTAAGACTTTAACCCATGATTGCCATTACTAGTACCATCTACTGTTTGTACCACAGGAACACGTTTTAGACCTTAAATTGTTTATTGGGTTGCACAGTTCTCACCAATTAAATTATGCATTGATTGTGACAGGAAACAATACAGCAAAGTGTCACCCAGGATTGTTCACACTATGAAATACTTTATTATTATTTATTTATAGGTGGGGGCAACAGCTAGGCCAATGAAACCTAGTAACAGTCAGGGGCATGTGAATAATGGTTATTTAAAATCAATCAATTTTTTTCCTCTGTATCACTGTTATGAATTATGGTCCAGTACAACAGATGGCCTTTTTACGTATTGCATGTCATGTTTTTTCCTAAGTAGGGGGCTATTCGAAATGTCAGATACTAAGTCTAGACTATTTTAAGATTATACTATTTTACAAAAGTTAAAATAAAAAGTATTTTCTAATGGGCCTAGTATAATGGGTAGCATCTGATATAAAATAGGGCCAACTGTTTTTGACTTTGTGACAGCCTGAACTTTTCTCGACTGGTGACTGTGTGATTGAGCTGACCAATGAAATCAGGTGCTGGGTGGGATTAGCGTTTGTCATGTTTAACTGGTTTGTTGGGTATTCAATTAATTGAATAAATTCAATTGTGACCTTTTTTATGTTTTAAATGGGGCTGTCAAGCGATTACATTTTTTAAATCGGATTAATTACATGATGTGCCAAATAATTTCAAATAATTTAATTAATTGGCACATTATTTGCTGATTAATTAATGATAGTCATTATTAATAAAGATACTTAAAGGCACTAGAAATTACAAAAAATAAATAGTTTGCTTCAACATACAAAAAATAAATAAATATTGAAATATGAAATGATTAAAAAAATAAATTATACTCCATATATAAAACTAAAAGCGCCAGTAGGTGGCTGGAAATTGCTGTCTTGAGTGAGTCATTCAATCGGCTGATTTATTCAGAAATTGACTGTCAGCAAGTGACTGTCCTTTATGAATGGCTCACTGAATCATTGACTCAATCCATTCGTTCAAACACATGATTCATTCAGTATTATCTTAGATAAATTGCACAAAAACAATACTGACAGTGTCTAAAATGTAACCCAATATTATCGTAATGGTTATTGAACAGTTGTAGACTATGAAATCAATATCATTGACTCAGCCAGTGTCTTATTAAATAAAGACCATATTAAATAAAGATATTTTATGCACAATATTTCAGTTACACTACACTTAAACGATAACTTTTATCCTAATTCTTAACAGTTGGACAAAAAAAAGCGTCTTTAAAAACTATTGGAACACACTGCCTTTACAAAAATTTTATTTTAAAATTTGAACAGAGAATTAAAATATATATTAATGTTTAATTCTTTAAAACATTGGCAAGTAGTCCCAGTTAAAAAAAAAACACTGCCTTAAAATAATTCTCTTCTTTCAAGTTCTCACCTGTATAGATTTTGGAGAGGTCGAGCAACTGTCCTCCCCTCTCTCTCTGTCAGTGACAGGCCAGTTAATGTTAAGAACATAGCTGTAATGAAATGGTGCTCTTTTGGGCAAACCGCCCAAAGAGCAAAGCGAGAGCAACAGGAGATTTGAAGCTCATGACAGACGCGCCCAAGAGATGATTCGCCTTGTGATTGGCTGAATGTAAGTTCACTCATATCTAAATAAACAATTCAGAGAACACGGTGGACATATCGAAATATCGACGGTGGGTAATAGGGATGGGCGATACCTCTTATTTTATTTTCGATCAGATACCGATATTTTCAAGCCCAGTATCGTCGATACCGATACCGAAAGTATCAATACTTAAGGATCGATCCGCCCATCCCTAGTGGAAGTCGGAAGCTGTTGGGAGCTGTTGGGGGCTGTTGGGGGTGGTACTACCTCCCTGAAATGAGTTTTTGCAGGGTGGGATGTCTTGTGTAGCCTACTTTCATACATCTGTCGGCACTTCTTTAGACAAACAAATTAGATAGCGATCTAACAAACTGCTCCATATAACAAAGCACTGTAAACAAGCAACGACTAGATAACTTGGCAACAATAATTAATCGTAAATGATCTTTAACGTTTTTTTCTTCTTTTTATAATGCCAGCTGTCAGTCTGGGGTTGCCCACTTCTGCACGTGTGAGAAGTTGGATGCCATGACAGCGTATCATATAAAATTAGTAGGCTAACTGTTCGCAATTAAATCCGTTTCCCTTTTGTAACTGATAGAAACCATTGCAATGGACGTCATCGGTCGCCGTGATTTTGCCAAAAAGACATGTTCCTGGATCAACATTACTGTCCAAAAATATAGACTAAACCCAATCCCTACCCCTAAACCTAACCCTACCCATAATTTATTCCTAAAATCAGTGTGAAATGATAGCTGATTAACAAGGGTGTAGAAGCACCTAACCCTGATCGTAAGCCTAAAACAGATATTTCCTGAAAAGTTATCCCTCAGTTCTGATTGGTTAATTGGAATGTTGTTCCAGGATCAGCAAGGATGTTGATCCAGGAACATGTTGTACTTGGTGAAATCACGGTCACCGAGGTGATCGGAGATGTTTAATTCACAATCATTCTGAGCATTATTCCTGCTGGCGTTCACATGATCAATCCACAAGTAGTTCTTAGGTTAAGCTATTTTCATTCAGTTCGATGTAAAAACAATAGACTAAGTATGTCTTGCATCCTTTAAATGTTAGCGAACATTGCAAATAAATTGGTTGCAAAACGGTATCCACTCACGTTTAACTTTTTGTCTGGTTGTTACAGTCAGAAAAAAAATTTAATCACATTACTATATGTTATAGCCATATGATCATTAGATTTTATACAGATGTTACTATAATGATTCTGTAAATTGTGATCAGCACCCAAATATTGTATATAATGTGGAAGCTACTGCCTTTTGCCTTGGTGTGACATCTCAATTTTTGCAGACAGTGCAAAGGCAGAGTGCCTACAATAACTTCAAAATAGCAGTAAAAATTAAATTTGAGATCATTTTCATTAAAACCTCTAATTGCCAGATTTCCAGTGTCCTACCCATAATACATTTTTCTGGACAAATAAAAATCTTTAAAGCCATTTTCTAAGTTTCACAGTCTAGCGAGTTTCACCAGCCCCTCACTGCAGAACACAAGATCCAGAGGGCGTGGTTGGATCCACATCTAGGGGGGGGAGATTGGTAGGTTTAGGGTGGAGATGGGTGGGTTTAGGGAGCAGGGGGTGGTGACGGGTAGGTTTAGGTATATGTAAGGTGGGAGGAGTTGGATCTGGATCCTTTGGATCTTGTGTTCTGCAGTGAGGACCATCTCAGTTTCACACTCTGGAGCAGAGCGGCAGTCCACCTGTCACTCAAGTGGTAACACTCTTTAATTATGCAGAACTTTAAGGCTTAATATAATTTAAACGGATGAGTTATAAAAAAAATTCACCCCCCTCACAGTTGTCATGAAGGGCAAAATTACCTATATAGACCGAAACCACTTTTTGTACCAAGCTGTAAAAAAAAAAA